ACCTCCTCATTCTCTATCTCTCCTCCTCCTCCTTCTCTCTCTCTCTTTTTTTTTTTCCCATCCTTAAGAGAAAACAAATGTGAATCTGCTTGTTTCAGATCTGCTGTATGTTGTTTTTGGTGATAGATCTGATCATTTTTTCTTTCAATTGGGGCTTTGGTTTTTCAATTTTTGTGGCTTGAATGGTGTTGTTTGATAGAATAATTAATCTGGGTCTTTGTTTTGACTATATGATTATGTTATAAAAGCCTTTTGATTGTATGATTATGGAAACCTGTTGAAAACCTCAATCGATTTGATTATTAGAAAATAAAATTGTTAAAGTTATTTAGAGTTTTTGTATCTTTAAGAATATGGGTTTGATATACAAGAACTTTTGGCTGGATTCGTCAGTCCAAATGTAAATATAATAGACTTATCAATCAGTACAAGAGATTGAATGATACTTGAACAATCTTGAATTTGATGAGGTAGTTCTTGTGTTCATATGGAGTTCAGTTTTATATTTTTTCTTTATTACTGATGAATTAAAACTCTCTATCGATTGGATTAATTTTTTATATCAAATTTGTATTTTGTATTTTGATTTTCCTTCTAAGGGCTTCTTGAATTCTGAAGAGAATTCACAAAATTATGTTGTGGAATTCTTTTTTGTTCAAAACTATATCAGATATGTATATATGATTAAGATATTAGGAGAATTTATGTGTTTATATCAGATATTAGGAGAATTTATGTTGATTTTACACCACTTGGTATCAGATATGTATAGGATTAATATTCAAGTGATCATTTCATTTTCATGACAAACAAAAATGTTTTGCAATGCAGATGATGTATAATTCTTTTGTTGAACTATTTTACATGTGCTGGTTTCAAAATATTGCAGGTATTGAGGTCCCATAAAATTGAAGTTCTATTTATTCAATTTTCACATAATGGGGAATTCTTGACCTCGACATGAAGAGATTGTACTACCATTATATAGAAGGTATTCAATAAATGTGCGTATATACTTTGAATTTATGAATCAAATGTTTTGGATAGGAGTGAAACATTATCATTTTCACATATAAATGATATAATGAAATATCCACTATAACTAGTACTATTGTATTATCAAATGCAAATTGGGTAAGACAGTTTCACATCTATGGTTATGGTTGTGTCTATGTTAGTGTTGCTTTGATTTTTGACTTGGTAAGATAGGTTGACCAAGAGACGAGTATGATTCGATATAAACACTTTGACATGCCAATATATGTTTTTCTAAAGTATACTAAGCAAAGTAATGATTGTCGCTGATCATTGAAAATTTTCATTTTTTGACTCGTCTTCACTTCGATCATTGAATACAGGTGCCCAACCAAGGTAATTTGACAGTGGAACATACTCTATGCAACCATGAAAATCCTGTTTCTTTTCTCTCTAGAGTCTTGATGACTCCGTGATAACAACGAAATGGACTATCTGCATATGGATTGTTGCTTCTCATATCAACTACGATTTATCGTCATCAATTCATTTCATGATCAAACGTCGTCGATGCTGATCTCCGAGCATGTTTCGTTCAAGTTACTGATTCTAACTAGTTGAAACAATCTTCTGATGATATTCATGTGAAACGAAGCAATTTTGGAAAATATCATTTTCATAGTTTTTATTTTTCTCATTTTTTCTGTATCTATTGTAGTAATAGAATTGCAAATTTGTCACACCCCAAATCCGGGCATGACCGGCCGTGGCCCACAGGGACTTAGCCCAAGGCACACGTAAGCATAAACACGAATCCAATCACATTGAACAACTGAACAATAGTCCAATAATAAATAACAAAAACTCAATCCAGACATGTCACAATTATAAATGGCAAAATCAACCGTAATCAAAAACCATCCAAACTTATGGGATATAAACAACCCACATATCAAAAATAATCCTAAATGAACTTCGATAAGAATAAATATAAATATGCACAAACTTGACATAACACTCTAAACTAAAGGAATGCCCTAGAGGTCCATGCAATTGAGTCACCGCTACGCCATGAGTCCATTCTAAGTCCTTCTAACACCTGGAAATGGTAAACAACTAAGTCAGCTGATAGCTCAACGAGTAGCAACATGGATAGTAAATACAGTTTTGAAAACAGGATTCAATTCCAAAATAAGATATATATCACAGAAACTAGATTGGCATACAGTTTGGTAAATACAATCTGTTTCAAAAAGAAGGTTCCACAATTCAACACTTAAAATACTCATGTCTCGCAAGAACATGATAAACGACATTTTTCACTTAAAACAGATTATAACATGAACAACAATAATTTTTTGAGTACCAATAAAAACAAATAATCTGCCACACAGTTCTCAAGGCTATAAGCCTCGTTGGATCCAATACCGAAATAAGAGTCATCCTCAGGGTGGCACCTGGGCCTTTTCTCAAAGACGATCCGATTGAAGGTCACCTAGTTATTTTTAAAGGTCTTTTCCTTACAATCGTTGAGCACTAGAGTCATCACGGCCCAACCCGGATCTGTTGCCTAGTGGCTAGAGTCACCACACACAGTGGAATAATTTCCCTGGACTAAATACACACATGGTCCCAATAATCAATACACATTAGTTTCGCAAAACATGGTGGTTCATCATTACAAACATGAGACCAAAACAAATAGTTTACAGTATGCCAAGTTCACACATGTTTTAGAAATAATTTGATTCAATTGATAATATAATAATTTATCAAAACAGTTTAATCATGAAACAACAATTTAATTTTCCAACAATTCAGGGTAGGTTGAATGATTAATCTATAATTAGAGAGTTAATTCTTCTTGGGTCTTTGAGAATAATCCATAAGTTCCCAAGTTTGATTAGGGTTTGCGATTTTTTTATTGGCGTGCATTTTTACCTGGAAACGAAATAATATAATCCTCGAATAGAGTGTGAAAGTCCAAGTAGTTCCCTGAACCAAGTATAAAAACTACACGTCACTACAAATTTAAAAATACTAAAGAATACGAACTAAGTAACCCCAAACTAAAGCGCACTAACACGGCTCAACCCAACTCACCGTTACTCCTAAATATTACCTAAGTTCATATTCTTCAAGGTCTAAAATCACCCAAGACATAGATTCCGATCGAAACTTAACTAAAAATGACTTGGAGATGAAACAGTGTTTTAAACCAGTTTTCCCAATCTATTCGCTAACTTTGAAAATTACAAAACCCACTCCACGTTGTTCGAAAAATTCCAATAACCTCCAGATGTGATCTAATACATCCTAAGTTTCAAACCCAATTGGTTTCACTTGATTTTCTTATCAACATAATTATCTACAATTTATTATATCCAAACAGGTTGTTTTCTGCAGCACTTTAAAAAATTGACAGTTCTCTTAATATATACGAGCAATCAATGCAAGGCCAAAAAGGTACGAAACTAGACTCGTAACCGGTTCTAATGAAGGTAATTTGATAATTTTTGGATTTATACCCAAAGAGAACAACACTCCCGAATTTACTGTTTCGGACTGGTTTCCTGGACAGATTTGAATACCTCAATTTATATGGATTTTGACTCCCAAAAATTATGAAAAAATTCAGATATACAATTCAGTACGTAATTAATCTACTGTAAAAATTTCAGATTAAAATTCATTCGTTTGATATGGTTTCTTGATTTCTAAAGTTTGCTGTTCTGAACAGAATTTTTTATTTTTTTATTTTTTTGTATTAAGAAATACTCCATTATTAAGTTATCACTTAGATTCCTATTTCCCGAAACTCAACTGGTACAACCTTCAAACACAACACTTAACTATGCACAGCCATTTAATGTCCACTATAGCACTTTCAACGGTGGAGAACCCATCACTAGAATTCACAAAAGGAATACCTATACCCCACGTGTTGCTTGTTCTAAAATTCCATCAACACTACTTGTATGAGCACTAAAAATATTAATAAAATCCCAATCAACCACCATACTATTGCACTGCTTCCTCACGACAATGCTCAATCAACGAAAATATGATCATAGATAATAATGAATCAAGAAAACAGGGAAGGAAGATGGTGAAAAATGCATACCCAAGACAATGAATTCACTTGAAACCTAATGGTGTGCCTGCTTGCCACTCTCTTCCCCTCCCTTTTTGACTAACGGTTGCTGCTAACTTGGGGTGAGCAAATAAGATTGTAGGGTTTTGTTTTGTTTTTATATTGTATTAGGCAACCTAGGGTTACATATGTATCTACACAAAAGGCCCCAAAATATTACCTTTTGTTTTAATTTATTTTCTCTCCCCATTAATTTAAATAAAATACAACTACTATTAGATCAAAATATGCTTACTAATTTGACACTTAATTTTATTTTATTTATTTATTTATTTATTTATTAAAATAATAAATCTTGCCTTTAAATTGAAGACTTTCACCATAAATTTATTTTAAGTTTTAAAATTAATTAAAAGACCCTCCAAATATTTAATTTGCACTTTAGAATTCACCATCAAAATATTTGAGATTGTATTATTATTATTATTATTATTTAATTATTTACTTAATTTTTATATTTGGGTTCTCACAAAATTTGAGGATGATTATATTATATAGATCTAATTAGTCTTTTAAGAGATTGATAAAGTCATTTTGTATAGATCAAATGAGTCCTAGGAGATTGTTTGATAAAAAAAATTTAGTTTGTCATATATTTTTATGCAATTTTGATTGTGACTGAATGAGATTTGTAGAACAGGGTTTGTTATATATCATTGTTTTATTTCATATCATTCATGAGGAATAAACAACCAAAAGAGAAGTTGGTTGTTTCAAGGTCTACGTCGAAAAAAAATAGAAAAGTTGGTTGTTCCAAAGGACAACATAGCATTTCATTCAATCAAGAACATTTCATTCAATTAAGATGCTCAAACCATTTCATTCAATCAAAATTGCTAAATCATTTCATTCAACTAAGATACACAAACTATTTCATTCAATCAACCAGCATATCATTTTATTCAATCAACATTGTCATTGCAAATATTAATCTTACATTCATATTAATTTGACTACAGTCATTTTGATCCAATTTCATTGTGATCAATCAAGTCACTATTCATGCCAACCAAAGGAGCCACTTCAATAGTCCAACCACATTTGTTCCTTCAATTTAATTTTCTCACTTTAATATTTCCTCATCCTTGTGTTTTCTTTCATCTTTGTCAAATTCTTTGGCCTTTGCTTTATCTTTCTATCTTCATCTTTACCTCTCTCATTTTTCCCCTTCTACATCCAAAATCTGTGAAAGGCAAAATAAGAGCATCAATAAAAGTTCATATTTTTTAATATTGAATGCCAATAGCAGCTGCAATATAGAAGTAGAACACAAACTAGCACACACTAAAAATAAGAAAATCCAGGAGGATTTCAACATGATACTGTCCTCAATTAAAATTCCAACAATGACACCGATAACAGCACAAACCACACACAACAATAGGTGCAATTTATAAATTGTTAAACCAATAAGGTCCAGAAATGAAACAAGTTTAGCGTCTAATACACCTAAACCATTCGCAAGCACCTAAAAAATCTTCTCTTCCCCAAAATGCCAAGTGCTATCCTTCACAATGTTCACTAAAATAAAAAGGCATCCAAGATAAGGACTCAATATTTATTCGCCAAATTAAGCTGTAGAGACAAGTTTCTCCTAACTCCTCTTCCAAACAAGTAAACCAAACCCACCCATGATTGGGAAGAGATCAAAAGCCCCACTTTAATCATACACCCCATGCTCTTTATAGAATTCCCTACTTGTACAAATGCAAAACAAAATGCAGCAATCTAGTCCAACCCCAAACCAACAAAGTCAGCTATTATCAAGATCACTGGCAGTAATAACAAAAACAAAAAAGAACCAACCAGTCATAAAAAATATATATATGCTCTCATCAAATTCCATGAACTCTCTCAAGAATTGCACATTCATAAATAACTTCATCCCTCTATCTCCAAAGCCTCTTGAAAAGAAATGCTACCATAATTGCTAGAAAACAAAAAAAAACCAACACTGGTCCCACAAACAAATTGAGAGCTATTTATCAAGGATTTCATATGGGTATCTTTAGAATCGCATGAATTGAAGAAAATTAACAGTAAAAAAGGTCAAAGATCAAGTGGGCTCACCAATGGAGCTCGAACTCAAAAACCTCTCTGTGCATTCGGCGAAGGATCGACGGCTTGGTCCATCTCTCACATGTACAGTTTCATACACGAATTTCTGGGTAATACCCAGGATCAAAATCAAAGCTAAATTTGCGTCATAGACACTAATTGAGAGCTCTATAAGCTTTAATCTTCATATCTGATCCACATAGAAATTAAAGAACCCCAAAGTCGAAAAGCCAAATAAGAGCTTTTTGTTGTTTTCCCTCTTTTATCTCTGCGAATGCAAACAAGAAAACAAATAGAGATTGAGAATCCATTACTGTAGTATCTCCTTGCCGTCGTTGCCCTCCTTTAGTTTCATCTCTCTGTTTTTGCTCCGTCGGGTGGGTTAGAGTTCTCAGCATGCCTCAGAGAGAGAAGACAACGGGGAAAAGAAAAGAAGACAATGAAAAAAAGAAAAAAAAAATGACAAAACGACATGGTTTCGTAACCACGGCAGGAAGCATTGCAGGGAACCACGACAAAAGATCGGGATTTGCTTTTGTTGGTTATTAATGTAGAGTCCAGATCCTCTGCAATGGTTTCCTGCAGTGGTTCCTGCTGTGTTTTGGCACCTCTTTTTTCTTTTATCTTTTTTTCTTTTTTCTTTCCCCAGCTCCTCTCTTACACTCCATTCCCAACTCTGAGACCCAAATCAGAGAGATACCACAAGGATGACAGAGAAGAAGAAGGAAGGAAGAGAAAGGGAAATCACCGGCATCACCAACGAGACCCTTCACCTCCTTACCTCATCGGAAAACTCTCATGCTACCGTCACCGCTGTCACAGCCCCCAAAGCCTCTAAAAAAAAGGGGCTTCATCTTCTTCTCGCATTTACGTTTTCGTTTTGATTACAATGTTGTTACTATGATTTCAATCTAGGGTTTCTTCGCCCAAGGAAGAGAGATATGGGTTCAAACAATACAATCATCTCTGTTCACATACAATACGATCATCTCTGCCAATGCCCCTCTCAAACAAGACTCTCATCATCATCCTCATCAATATCATCAAATGGGTTCAAACCAATATGCCAATGGACACATCAAAAATAACACCCAAGAAGAGGCAAATTTTGAGTTTGGACATTCTTATTTGAAAAGTTAACTATAGAAATTCTACTGATTTTCTGTTTGTGATTTTGGGTTTACTTTCTTTTTCCCTTTTGGATTTGATACTGGTGAAAATTGATCAATATAACTGGAATCTCAAATTTTTGAAACAAAGAAAATAATCTCATATTTTTGTTTTGGTCTTTCGTTTGGTTGGATTTTTTGAACCTATAAACTAAACACACAAACTTTGACATTTTGGACATCAATTTGAATCAAGAGATAAACCAACACATCAATTTTCTAAAGCAAGACAACTCCACCGATTTGCTTTCATTCGATAACCTGAAAAAGAAAAAACCAATTAAAACCTAGAAACAAAACCCAAAAACCCAGAAATTGAATAACCCAATTTCTTCGTTAGTTCATGTTTTCATTAAAAGAAATTGGTGTATTGCCAAGTGAAATTGATGGGTTGAGTTTAATTTGTGTTTAGAGAGTGGTTTGTTGCAGACTCATGATGAGAAATTGTGATTGATTGGAGCAATAGAGAGTTATGATATAAATATATATATATATATATAGTGGTAGCTCAGATTTCTACATAGAGAAAGATTGGGATTTACATCTTTTACCCATTACTAGTTCAAAACCTTCAAGTCTAGGATTACATTCTACATCTCCATCTTCTCCTCGTCTTCCTTCATTAGTTTCCGAACTCGAACCCAGATTCGATTAAGAGAAAGAATAGAGAGTGTAGTGAAGAGGATGAACACAGTGATTGTCATAGAGCAAAGAAATCGGATTTTTTCCAATCAAAATCAGATTTGGTTGTTTTCTTGAGTCAAAACCGAACAGGACTTCTGATCAAAACCACTACTTTGGTTCTCTGATTCTCTGATTTGGGTTTGATTTCATTGTTTCATCTAGAAGAACCCAACAATGCCATCTATCAGGTAATAAATCGCAGAAAGCCATGGGGTCGTCGTTGCTGCTCTCCGTCGTTGGTTTCCATCGACTACTTTCTCCCACTCTTTGTCGTCCTTGGTGGTCTCTCTCGGATTTGGGTCTCAGATTTGGGAATGAAGTGTTAGAGACAGAAGCTTGAATTTTTTTTTATTTTTTTTATAAAAAAAAAAAGTGCTAAAACGACGTCGTTTTTCCACCACAGCAGGAACCACAGCAGGAAACCAAACGACGTCGTTTTTCCACCACAGCAGGAAACCACTACAGAGGATCTGGACTCATTAATGTAATGTGAATTTGTTATTGTTGGTTAAAAAATGGTTTCACTTTTGTACTTCTAATTTATTAGAAAACAATTGGCAATTTTGAGGAAGCCAACAATTGGTTATCAATGTAATGTGAATTTGTTATTGCTCTTTTTTTTTCTTTTTCTTCTTCTTTATATTTCAAATTGGTATGACTTCTATTGTCATTTGCGAAAAACCTGCAGATTACTTCTTTTTAGATAAATTACAATGACCTCCCTGAGATTTGCCTTAATTACAAATGCCTCCCTTGTGGTTTAAAAAATGACACAAAACCTCCCTTGCTTTTGAAACTAATATACAAAGATCCCTTTCTATTACTCATCCATCTAAAATCAAATAGATTATGCCGATGTCATCCATAATTATTTTGCAAATTCCAATATTACCCTTTATGTACTTAACATATATATGAATCATGTTGACCATTATAGGGGTTTTACCTAGTTCTTTGGCCATTGTAGGGTTTATGTTGACCATCAACAAAGAAATAGACAGTTGGAAACCCCTAACCATCCACCTTCACGAGCGCCACCGCCTGGCCCTTTAACTCCGTCGTTGTCGCAGCATACTCCGGCGCCAGAGCTTGACAGTGTCCACACCATGGCACATAGAACTCAACCATCACATATCGACAGGCCTGGTCCTGAGATTTTCGGGGTCCAAAGCCAATAATCAACTACTAAATTTCTGGGGCCTTTCACATTTTTTTATTGAATGAAAAAAAAAATTTAAGGTAAAGGACAAAAGATTTGTATTAAAATCACAAAAAATACTTAGCATTATATTATAACAACTAATAAGTATCACCACTTAACAAAATACAAAACTTTTTTTAGATCAAAATTCAAAACAAGAGTACCACCACTTAACAAAACACAAAACTTTTAAATTATGTGATGTGAACTATTAAACTTAAACAAATTCTTCTTGATGATATAAATACCAATATTATAATAGCAATTAATTGTACAAAAAACAAGACAAATATTTAATTAATTGAATAGAAAAAAAAATATTTACCTGTGCTTGCTGTGTTGAGATCAAAATATTTTTTTAAATTAAAATTCAAAACAAGAGCACCACCACTTAACAAAACACAACTTTTAAATTATGTGATGTGAACTATTAAACTTAAACAAATTCTTCTTGATGATATAAATACCAATATTATAATAGTAATTAATTGTGCAAAAGACAAGATAAATATTTAATTAATTGAATAGAAAAAAAAATATTTACCTGCGCTTGCTGTGCTGAGATCAAAATATTTTTTTAAATCAAAATTCAAAACAAGAGCACCACAACTTAACAAAATACAAAACTTTTAAATTATGTGATGTGAACTATTAAACTTAAATAAATTCTTCTTGATGATGTAAATACCAATATTATAATAGCAATTAATTGTGCAAAAGACAAGATAAATATTTAATTAATTGAATAGAAAAAAAAAAATTACCTGTGCTTACTGTGCTGAGATCAAAATATTTTTTTAAATCAAAATTCAAAACAAGAGCACCACCACTTAAAGTTGGATTAAGAGAAAATAGGGTTAGGAATTAGAAAAAAGAGGCATTTCAAACTATTGGGTTAGGCCTTAATTGTTGGATTTTTAATAGGTCAAAAAAATTAAGTTAGTTTAGAGTTTTTTTAAAAAAAAATTAAACTTAAAATATACCTAACATATTATACTAATTTATAATAGGAAGACCCCTATTTTAAGCCTATTTTGAGTGGCGTAAGCCATGGCCTTGTGGGCCTATGGCCAGGGCCGGGCCGGGCCTGCGTATTGATTCCTTTCGCAACCTCTGGTTCCTCCTCTTCGTCCCCACCAATCTCGACCAAATCCTCTCTGTCATCGTCTTCTTCCACGATGGCAGATTCGTCTACCTCACCGTCGAATCCAAGGCCTACGACGTCGTTTGCCGCCGATTCGCCCGCAAAGTCCCCGCCATTGTTGTCTCCGTCAACTACCGCCTCGCTCCCGAACACCGTTACCTTGCTCAATACAATGACGATTTCGATGTCCTCACATTCCTGGACGACAACAAATCTCAAGTCCTACCAAAAAACGCAAACCTCTCTCACTACTTCCTCACCGGTGCCAATCTCGCTCATCATGTCGCGTATCGAGCCGCCGAATCAAATTTCCAGAAATTGAAGGCATGAAAATCAAACAATAGATCCACAACACAACATAACATTTGCATCGTATTTCTTCTTAATTGATGAAATTTGACAGAAAATTATTAGTTAAAAAAATTGTGCTCAAATGATTATTTCATCAGATGTGTATCAAATCAAAATTCAAACAATTTTCTCAATATTACATCACTAATTTTACTCAAAAAAGTTTGATGGAAATTTGATTGATTGTGTTGTTGTGAAATGAAGGTGGTGGGGTTGGTGGCGATACAACTATTCTTTGGAGGAGGAGAGAGGACAGAAGCGGAGGTGAGGCTATCGCAACTAGTGTCAATGAAAAGAATAGACTGGCTGTGGAAGGCGTTCATGCCGAAGGAGGAAGAGGAGTGGGTGGGGACGGATCAAAGTGATAAACGTGAGAAGACCCTCTCTCTCTCTCTCTCTCTCTATATATATATATATATATGAATGAATAAGAAAGGTTTTTTACCTTAAGGGTCAATTGTGTCTTTTTACAATGTAGTTGAAGGGTATTATGATCAATTTCACTGTCAAATTAACGTCTTGTTAAGACTCTTTTAACGGGAATGAAGAATCTAATTATTATTTTCAAAAGTCAGAGAAGTCTATGTCATTTTTTAAACCACGAGAGGCATCTGTAATTAAGACAAACTTCAAGAGAGGTTAGTATAATTTACCCCTTCTTTTTTTATTTTTGCTGCGATGACAAAGGAGGGACCTCCATACTTTCATCTCTCCATACCCCCTATTGTGGTCCCGGAACACACCAATGAAGTAAACATATATGCTTACATGAGCAATCTATGATGGAGGATCAAATTCTGGAAGTAAAAATATGTGTTTACGTGAATGATCAAAGATGGAGGCTCAAATTCTGTTAGGGAGTAAAATTACTAGCTTACATGAAACAAGTTTACAATACATTCCCAGTAATTTCTTGATGTTGCTGTACTGGATGTCATCTATTATCTCCTTTTCTCTTAAACCACTCATTCAAATGGTGTTAGCTGTTAGAAAGAGCATTTGTACCTCTTGCATTTTGCAGTTGCAGATCCATTACCTTCATTTGTTTCATTTTGTGTATGACACAGATCAGTTGGGTCAAAATGTGAAGGGCTTCAAACAGTCTCCACGGCACAGAGAATTGAGATGTAAATCAAGAAAACCCAAGTCCAGCACAAAGCGAAAGTTGCTGGTAACTGCAGATGACAGTAATGTCTTAAGGCATTTGAATGTTTGTTGTAGAGAAACTTTAAAGCTTTCAGAAGAGTAGCTAGAAAACGCTCGCAGCTTGAGAGCCTGTCTCCATTTTTTTATATTCAAAAATAATTATCAAATAGATATCGATCATTTCATCAATTCAATTGATACTCAACACATTTTCATGTTTTGTCCTTTAAAGTTAGCTACTCTTTCACTCTCTCCCTTTAAGTTCTTTACAATTTTGCAGCTAGAGATATAGAGATTGCATTTTTGTATTGATGGGCATGCCTTGGCAAACATCATAATTTCAGGAGAGGGGAAAATAAATGTTGTTATTTCGGTTGAGGTTAATCTAATTTTAGATCAAGCAATTTTCAGAGAAAAAAGGGGTAATTTTTGTGTCTTTCTCCCCATATATGTATGTAATGTATGTTTTGTTGAATGCGCTTATCCAAAGTTTTCATTCTCCAACTGATTGTTAAAATGCCTGAGAGAGTAGATTCTACTTACGTACACATATATAAACACCTTGTATATACGACTCTAATCGGATTTATTCATTTTAGTTTCAACTTTAGTTTGAAGTGAGAGCTCAACCTTTCTAGTCATGGGTGCTTGTAGACTTCTGAGCATGGGATGATCTCTGTGGAGAAGATTGCTAGTTATTTTTATTGGAATTATGCATGTGATATCTATATTCTATACTATTATATATGTGAAGGCTTCAAACGGTGTTGACACAATGCAACATTTTGATTCGTAGATGAAGTACATGAAGCCATTCAATTTGTTCCATGATTTGATGAAGACAAAACCATTAGAACGAAGGCGTTTGCTTGGTCTGGAAGTTCATGATAAATATGTTGGCCTTGCTGTTTCAGATACGAACAACAAGATTGTTTCACCTCTGAGGTATGAAACTTTATTGAACACAATAAGTTTCAATATTTTCATGCTCTCTCCTGGGCATTTCATGGGAAGTTTTATGTATTTTTTCAGCAAGACATATGTAACAAGTACCCACTATTGCTATAAAATTTGCTAGCATGTTATGATCTACATAGAGTCAAGGATATTTGCTATGTGTTTTTCTGGGAACTTACTGAGTGCTACCTAACACGTTGGTAAAACTAATTTTTGCTTGGTCTGCTGGGTTCTTGTTTCCCTTTGCAAATTGAACGTTAATCAGAACATTCATTCTTGCTATCAGCAAGAAATTTCATAACAGTTAAAGTAAATAAAAACTCCTTAATTTTTTTTCTTTCTTCTCTTATCAATTTGATGAAGAACTAACTCACATTTTAACTTTCAACCATATTTTGAAATGTTTAAAATTTGGTTGTGTTTTGTACTCAAAATACTCAGCATTTAGATATTTAGTTTTGCCTCTGAAAAAATTATGCTGAAATTGAAAATTTGAAACCTTTTTTGTGACTTGGTCATATGTGCCTTTCCATTCCATTCTGCAAACTGTGGTTGTTATTTATGGACGATATGCCAGTAGCCCACTTGATCTACGAGAAGGAGGAGGAGGTTGAGGAGGAGGAGAGATAGAGGAGGAGGAGGTTGAAAATCCATTACCGTCGCCTCGCCTTCGCCTCACCTCCGCCGCCGCATCACACCGCATCGCCTTGCCTCGCCGCCATCGCCCTCCTTTTTGTTTCGTATCTCTGTTTTGCTCCTCGGATGGGTTAGGGTTCTCAGCCTACCTCAGAGAGAGAAGACAATGGACAAAAGAAAAGAAGAAAGAAAGAAAACAAAAAAAACAAAAAGATGAAAACGACGTCGTTTCAGTACCACGGCAGGAAGAATTGGAGGGAACCACGGCAGAGGATCCGGACTCTAGTATCAAATAAACAATGTCACATAATAGCTGGAGACTACCTAATAATTATCTCACATTGAATAAACTCAGTGATTGTTTTTGTATTTTTGTTAAATGTTAAGGAGTATCTTAATTTTTACTCTTTTATTTGGATAAATTACATAGACCTCTTTGAGATTTAAAAAAAATACAATAAAGCTCATATATTAAGGGTTGGTTTGGGAAGTGGGTTGACTTTTTGAGTTTTTGGCTTTTTTAAGCTATTTTAGCCTGGGCTAAAAAGTTTGGTTTGGGAAGGATTTTTTTGGCTTTTTTGACATTTTTTGTGAGAGAAAAGTATAATGATTATGGGTTGGATGTGATGTTTTGTTGGTTGTGGCTAAAATAGCATATTTTGTCTTTTGTAACTAAAGTAGCAAAAAAAGCCTACAAACCTTCTTCCCAAGCAGATAAACATAATTACACCAACATCTCTTTTACAAATAAAATTAAGGGTCCAGCTTGTCTCAAGTTGAGATCAGGACTGGACTTGTCCAGTCCGGCCCATGGGGCTCATTTTTTGGGCCGTTTTGATAATTTGAACCGTTCAATGTGTAGAACTCGTCGAGTACTATATGCCTGTAAAAAATCACGTTGATCGGATATTAATAGCTATGTGATCAAATCAGTTTTGTATAAAAAAAAATGGACGGTGAAAAAATTAACGGTTAATAAAAAACTGCTTTGTTCACATAGCTATCGATATCCGATCAACTTAATTTTTTACAAGCATATAGTACTCGACGAGTTCTACACATTGAACAGTTCGGATTATCAAAACGGGACCCGTGGTGGGCCCTCACGGGCCCAACAGCACGGTCCAGTCTGATCTTGGACTGGACCAAAGCCACTGCCTATAATAAACCATAAAATTGAGTTAGCTGCTGTGAGAATCCGAATATACAGATCAAATAAATAATTAAGTAATAATTATTTTACAATCTCAAATATTTTGCTTGTGAATCTTTAAGTATAAATTAAATTTTATTAGAGGATCTTTTAATTAATTTTGAAATCTAAAATAAATTTATGGTGAAAGTCTTTAATTTAGAGGTAAGATTTATTATTTTAAAAAATAAAGTAAATAGAGAAGGGGGGTGTCAGTTTACCGGTTATATATATAAAGGATAATTAAACCTTAATTCTTATGATATTGTTTCCCACAACTTTCCGAGCAACAGTGAGAGGTAAAGAGAGGGAGAGACACGTCTAGGCTATTGGGTGAAAAGTGCTGAAAATTGTTGAGTTTTGTGGTGGCCATTGGCAAGATAAATCCCTTATTTTTTTATTCCCTCGCTATCTTTTTCTTCTTGTGAATTGATGTGTAGTTGATGGGTCAAATCGGTGAAGTAGGTACATCTGTTGGGCATGGCTACGAAATATTTGGCTGATTGGGATAGTGTTTTGTGTATAATCATGCAAAATTTTAAAGCGAGTTAAAGGCGTTGGATAAGAATTCCGTATAAAATTACAAACTTTAGAAATCAAAAAATCATATCAAACGAATGAATTTTGAACTTAAATTTTTACAATAGATTAGTTACATATTGAATTGCATTCCAGAATTTTCTCATAATTTCTGGGAGTCAAAATCTATATAAACTGATGCATTCAAATCTGTCAAGAAAACTGTGTAAAATAGTAACTTCGAAAGTGTTGTTCTCTTTGGGTATAAATCTGAAAATTATCAAATTAACGTCATTAGAGCCGGTTACGAGTCTAGTTTCTTACATTTTTAGCCTTGCGTTGATTGCTCGTGTATACTAAGAGAACCATTAATTTCTTTAAAGTGCTGTAGAAAACAACCTGTTTGGATATAATTAATTGTAAATGATTACTTTGATAAGCAAATCAAATGAAACCGATTGGGTTTGAAACTTAGGATATATTAATTGTTATCTGGAGGGTTTTGGAATTTTTCGAACAGCATGGAGTGAGTTTTTAATTTTCAAAGTTAGCGAATAGATTGGGAAAACTTGTTTAAAACTCTGTTTTATCTTAAAGATACTTTTAGTTAAGTTTCAATCGGAGCCCATGTCTTGGGTAATTTTAGACCTTGAAGAACATGAACTTAGGTATTATTTAAGAGTAACGGTGAGTGGGGTTGAACTGTGTTAGTGCGGTTTAGTGTGAGTTACTTTAGTTTATTATTCTCTTTAGTATTTTTAAATTAGTGACGTGTTGTCTTCCTACTTGGTTTAGGACACTAGTTGGACTTTCATACTCTATTCGAGGATTATATTATTTCGTTTTCAGTTGAGTAGTTTCATGTTACATATTTTTATAAATATTCCCCTATTTTGAACTGTTGAAAAATTAAATTATTGTTTCAGGACTAAACTGTTTTGATAAATTATTATATTATTAATGAAATCAAATTATTTCTGAAACATGTGCGAATTTGACATACTATATGTAACACCCCACTACTTGCTGGGTTATTGCACACTTTCCGTCTATTTAAACGAAAAATGTAACAGCAGCAATTTAGTCCAAAATCATGTGACGGTTATGTGACTATTTGTAAAACGCATGGGGTAAAATACTATCCAACAATGCCACAATGAGATAAATAGATTTTGCCCAAATAAAAAAAGAAAAAGAAAGTAGAAAGGCCTTAAATCTTGCTCCATTGGGCTAAGCTTGTGATAGGTGTCTTGTTGTTGGCCCAACCCATGAGCCCGCTTGGGCCAAGCCCATTAGTTAGGGCTTGAACCTAAGTTTTTAAGTTGCGAGCTAGGCCCTTGTTAGCCTGTTGAAAAATGCTCGCTGGGCCTGGCCCTCGTGCGGGATTGGACTCTATTTTTGCAGGCCAATTATATCATTTGTCATGTGAACAATGTTACATAATACTCTTACTAAATAATTACCCAGACTAGGGAATAATTACTTTGAGTCTTTCCCAATAATTTGTATCATATTCGGGATGGATGCCTAGTTAAATGGTTTAAAGGGAAAAAATGGGACTTACGAGTAGGTCACAATAGGTAGACTTATTATTTAATTGATAATTAATGATATTTTTATCAAACATTATTAAAAAACATTACTAATTATTAATTTTCGACGACAATTTGAAAATTGTCACAAAAAGTCACTAATTTTTAACTTTCAGTAATAGTTTGAAAATTTTATCAAAAAAAAAATCACTAATTGTAAGTTTTAGTAACAATTTATAAAAACTGTGACAAAAAAAAGTTACTAATTGTTAATTTTTAGCGATATATGCAAAAAAATCATTATAAAAAATTTATTTTTAGTGACGATTTTACTAAGACTTATTTTCAATAGGACTTGATGAAAATTAAATTTAATTATCAGGACCTATTGATAGTTTATCCCAAAAAAATTACAGCAATGTGGTAAACTGTCCTTTCCAAGTAAAACGTGACAGTGGCTCTTCCATATTTGTTTAAGTAACATCCTTCACAGATTGACAATACAAAATAGATGATAGATTTGAATTTGATAACATTTTTGGGATAATTCATTTAATCCAATAGATCATTCAACTAAGTTTGCACATGAAAATAGATCAGTAGTCAATAATGAGGTTAACATTTCTTTCCATGATCAATTTTCATTTGAACTCCACATAAAGTGAAGATAACAAGATTAAACTGTTATTGTAACATATAATAAGTAGATGTTAACTCCAGAAAGATGGCTTATGAAATCTCAGAGGCAGCAGCTGATCATGATGATCATGGAGGAGGGGGTCCCATTGGTCCAGGCGGGCCCATTGGTCCACCAAAGCAGTCTTGAAACAACCAGCAGCAACACAAGACGCTCAGGCTGCAATTCAGACATCCAACAAACAAACATAATAAGAACTTTGTGTTTTTCCAAACAAAAAAAGAAAAAAAAAAACACAACCAAACAGTCTGATTAAGAATCAAAACTCAAAGAAGTACCACAAGGATTACTGTCAACTAATAGGTGTCTTCCTTTCTTTTCTTTTTTTTTTTTTTTTACTTCGATAGGTAACTATGATCTTCTTTACATTGCTATATAATGTCAAAAAATGCAGTTATATATGCCATATCATAAACTCAACAGTCCATTATATGTAATACCCATAAAATGCAACCATCTAACTTTCCTTTCACTTCTAGCATTACTAAAACCAGAGACTTCAACCAAAATATATATATATATAAATAAAAAAATCATCGTACCGCCATCATGTTTAGATCATGAATTTAAATAGGAATTTGGAAAAGAAAAAAAAAATTGGAAAAAAAATTTAACTAATATTTCGTTCACATCTCTCTCACTTGTTCCAAATCTCCCTACTCAATTTATAATCCAAACACAACATCAAATTTCAACAATGAGTCAAATTAAAAACTTGAGAGTGGTTATTTATCTACATTTTGAACAGTAAATACTTACCAAGAGTTGCTCCGTGCACACCCATAAACGTGTGTATACTATATGTATACTATCACAAAATAACTACAATGTTTTATAATAAATACCACGAGAAGTGGCAACTTTTTTTTACTAAAATAATTTGTAACAATTCTAGCCACAAATGACATAACACAAGTATTGGTAACTTTTATCACAAAAAATCGTAACTTTCTTACCAAGCTGATATGGCATTGCAAAAACCACCAAAAAAACCCAATCCGGGAGGAGGCCCTGGTATTGGTCCACCAGGAGGAGGCCCCCAGCCCGGCGGTCCTCCAGGCCCTCCAGGTCCCATGAGAGACACTAGCAAGCGAGGTTTCAACCACCACACTGAATGAACAAGATGGAAAAAGACCCTCAAGGAAAGTATGTGTATATCTCACTCCTGAAAAAAAAAAAAAAAAACATTGATGAGGCAAGCTATGTATAGAAAGAGAAGGTTAGATGGAGTTCTAACCTAACAGAAAAGAGTTAGCTTACCTTAGTCTAGAAGCATCCAACTTTCTATTCACACTGAGGAAACTCTTTTAAAATGTCTCTCTGTTGCTATTACTAACATGTTCATCTAACTGTAATTTCTCATCTACCCTTCTTCAAACTACTAGTCAAAATAATAGTACATATGTAGAGCATTCCATTCCATGTCAAAAGGGTCTCATGGGTCTCATTTGAATATGTGAATATGATGTGAAGACTTGTGTGCTCTCTAACCTTTGCCAGGAAAAGCCTTAGCCTTGTGAAAGCCATTGTGCATGTCTAGCACTGAAAATAATATAAAATCTTGTACTCCATGTATATGAGTTTGGATTGGTATTATACTGTGTGGTGTAATAAGATTTCTTCTTTTCTGCTATATATCCACTCAGGATATACCCAAAATTAATATGAGTAACCACATTCTGTTTGGTTAGGTTCATGATTATTTGTTGGTCATTGCCTTATTTTAGTATTCTCCATTGTTCCTGACATCATTACTATCCTATTTTCTAACAACATATTCTCTGGAAAATATTTTTTGAAAAAAAAAAAAAATTGGTATAAAATATTTTCAGCCTAATCAAATGTAGTGGTAGTATCACTAGCATTATCCTCCAAGGGTTCACCCTGTTGAGTCTTTTCATAAGATCTTTAAACTCCATTTTTGAGTTGCAAAAACCAAAATTTTTCTTATTCAAAATGTTCAAAGTTTCTTTGATCAATTTCATTTCATAAAACATTACATATTCACTCACTGATACAAAGTGCAAAGAAAGTTCATAATTAGTACAATAAACGAAGTTGCAACAACAAAAAATACCACATAAGCAGAGGCGGAGCCAGGACTTCTTGTTTGGGGAGCAGAGACGAAGATAGGGGGTGGCCATGCCCCCTTAAAACTTCTCACAATTTCTAGTTACCTATATTTTGTGAATTATTTTATATTGCCTATAGAATGATTTTATTTATTTATTTATTTTAAATTTCTCTATCAGTCCTTATATTGCTCAAGTATTCTTATAATGCATACAAGATGACTTGAAACTATTTGCTATGGCCCCTCTACAAATAAATTTCAGGCTTCATCCCTGAGGCCAAGTAGAGACATGGTCGAGTTGGGTTAGTTCGAATTGCTTATGTATAATTATTTTGAACAATAGTATTTGGTTGGTGTATGAATATATGTGTGTGTCTCATATTTATTTTAGGTGTGGTCCGTCACATCCAAAATAAATCTACCACTCTCGCTAATTTTGATGAACAGAATGTAATGCTTAAACAAGTCATTTTGGCCGAAGGGACTGTTTTGATCAAAGGCACAGTACAGGCGGTTTGGGGCATAGCTGCTCCTGCTGCCCTTGGGGCGCAGCATCCACTCCACTCCCCTTCAAAGCCATGGACTATCTGTGTTGTTCTAAATGCACCGTTTTATTTTCTTGAAAATTGTTATACAAATTTTAAATTAACAAACATTATTAATAAAAAAATTTACTCAATTGATATGGTATGTTGTAATAAATTTTAGTGTTTCGAGTCTCAATATAATAATGATGAGAATAATCTATTTAAGTAAGAAAAACAATGGGCTTGTTTGGTTTGCTTTTGAAAGAGTTGTTTTCAAAAAAAAAAAAATTTCTAAAATTTTGTTTGATTTATGATTTTTCTTAAAAAAAATTTAAAATCACTTTCTCTCTCTTACACATCAATCAATCACTTTTTTTTCTCTCATCTCTCTTTCTCAATCAATTTTTCTCTCACACACATTTACTCAATTACAACAAAATATGAAATCATCTCACACTCCAAAACTACTTTCAAGATATACAACCAAACAAACCAAAAAATTTCTAACAACAATGATTCATCCCCTCTTTTCCTCCCACTCCCTTTGACCCCCCCTCTCTCTCATTGGTTATATTTTCTTTTTCTTTTTCTTTTTTTTCCTGCTTCTCCAATCACCACCCGTCACGTGGCAAAGCGGGGTGAGGGGTGACCCCCAAAAGGGAGTCCCAAGCATTATTCAATTTCTAAACTCTCTCCCCCAATTATTATTATTTTTTTTTTGAAAATCACTCTAAAAAACAAACCAAACACACCCTATGTTCTTCTGATACTTTTTTCTAATTTTACTCAATTACAACAAAATATAAAATCATCTCACGCTCCAAAACTACTTTCAAGATATACAACCAAACAAACCAAAAAATTTCTAACAACAATGATTCATCCCCTCTTTTCCTCCCACTCCCTTTGACCCCCCCTCTCTCTCATTGGTTATATTTTCTTTTTCTTTTTCTTTTTTTTCCTGCTTCTCCAATCACCACCCGTCACGTGGCAAAGCGGGGTGAGGGGTGACCCCCAAAAGGGAGTCCCAAGCATTATTCAATTTCTAAACTCTCTCCCCCAATTATTATTATTTTTTTTTTGAAAATCACTCTAAAAAACAAACCAAACACACCCAATAACGTTTGAGACTCCCTTTCGGGAAGATCTCCACCATCCCCATAGTGATGTAGATAAATGATGTGTTTGTATTATTATTATTATTATTATTATTATTATTATTATTCTCTTTGTTACTTGAACCAATCATAACTGAGTGAGATTGTGAGGATGATATTTTGTGAGGGTCCAAATCATTATTGATTTGACAAAAATATCCTCAACTTCTACTCTCCCACTACTTTCCATTACCACAACCACTACAGACTATTGCCGGCTATTAGTCACCACCGTCGGCTAGTGACAGTTTTTCAATGACTACTGCCTGCCGGCACCAATTTTTCAACCACTACAGAGTAGTTGTTGAAAATGGACGTTCTTTATCATTGTCTAACAACTCATCTTTTTTGTCAATCTACTCTAGCCACCATTTTCAACAACTATTCCCACCGCAACAAAAAAATAAAATAAAATAAAATAAAATAAAATTTCAAAACTCACTGTTTTAGTGGATAGTAAAATTTTACTATCTATTTTGAGGATAAATTACAGTGACACCCTATGAGATTTATGTTTATTACAATTTCTTCTTATTTTGTGAAAATTACAACTCCCTCCCTGAGATTTAAAGTTTCATTACAAATTCTCCTCTCAGCAATTTAATTTTTTTAAATACTAATTTTGTCCTCACTAGGTAAATTACATTGACACTCCTTATATTTTAGAAATTACAATCTCATCCTTAAGGTTTAAAGTAGCATTACCAATTGTCCCCTCGGTTAGTATTAGTTAGAAAAAAAAAATCATTAAAAAAATATTAATTAGAAAAAAAATTATTTGAAAAAAAAAATTAATTGAAAAAAAATTTTGTTAGTAAAATTTTTTAATTTCTGTTTAAAAACTAACGTAAGCTCATTTTTTGAATTTACGTTTTTTCCTCAAATTTACAAACTGAGACAACTATTTATAAACTAAAAAAATTATCAAATAAGTTTTTATGACAATTTTTCAAATTTTTGTAAATATAAATTGAAAATTGAAAACTAAAAACAAAATGGTTACCAAACAGGTTTCAGATGGTAAAAATGTCGTAAAATTAACAAATAATTAAATAAGTTACTAACGTAAGAAATGACTTATCAAAAGATTCTTAGGTTATGTATGGTTTGATTTTTAAAAATATTTTTAAAAAATTAAAAATTTATTCAGTTAAAAAATAAAAAATAATTATCATTTTAATATAATTTTTATCTTTTGAATGGTTAGAAATAATTTTTTACAAATTAAATTAAAACAGCCATACGTATGTATATATAACCTACTCAAAAGTTAAAATGATAATTATTTTTTACCCTTAAATGAAAATTATTTTTTATTTTTTATTTCTTAACCAAATTAATTTTTTATTTTTTTTAAAAAAAATTCTAAAAATCAAACCATACATAACCTAAGAATATTTTGATAAGTCATCTCTTACGTTGGTAACTTATTTAATTATTTGTTAATTTTATGACATTTTTACCATCTGAGGCCTATTTGGTAATCATTTCGTTTTCAGTTTTCAATTTTCAATTTATATTTAAAAAAATTTTAAAAATTGTCATAAAGACTTGTTTGATAATTTTTTTGGTTTATAGATAGTTGTCTCAGTTTGTAAATTTGAGGAAAAATCATAAATTCAAATAATGAGTTTACGTTAGTTTTTAAACAAAAATTTAAAAATTTTACCAACAAAAAATTTTTTAATTAATTTTTTTTTTCAAATAATTTTTTTTCCAATTAATTTTTTTTCAATGAATTTTTTTCAACTAATACTAATCGAGGGAGCAATTGGTAATGCTACTTTAAACCTTAAGGAGTGGATTGTAATTTTTAAAATGTGAGGAGTGTCAATGTAATTTACCCAATGACTGCAAAATTAATATTTAAAAAAATTAAATTGCTGAAGGAGAAATCTGTAATGAAATTTTAAACCTTAAGGGGAAATGTAATTTCTAAAAAATGAAGAGTGAAACTGTAATAAACATAAATCTCAACAAATATCAGTCTAATTTACCCCTATTTTAAACATGTAAACAGCAAATTTTTACCATTGACATTATTAACAATCATTCTTGATCGTTACCATTATTAGTATAAATATTAAACCAGAAATTAGTTAGAACATTAAATTAACAATATTAATAGTAAAATTTTCCTCTGGAGGACAACTAACTTTTTTTTTTTTTTTTTTTGGCTACTTAACATACTAAAATAACATTTTTGTTTGAGATCCCAACTTCAATATTCAAATTCATCGTGACAAAAAAAAAAGGCACTAAAAATAGATATATATATATATATATATAGAGAGAGAGAGAGAGAGAGAGTCTGTTGTAGTTGATCTTAGATTTAAGATCCTTGATCTCATATCTAAGATCTCCAATCTCAAATTTATTCGAACCAGTGTAAATCTTATTGTTTGAAAAACAGGGCATCGTATGAAAAAGACAAAGAGAAGGAAAGAAAGAAAGAACAAAGATTTGAGAAAAATGTTTGGTGGTCCAAATTTTTGTGGCTCGAATGGCTCGAATATGTTAAAACGACGTCGTTTTATACTCAAAATAACGTCGTTTTGGATGTTTCAAGCCATTCGAGGCATGATTTTTCGGGCCATCTATCATTGTTGTAGATTTGAGGTGGTTGATCGATCTAAGATCTGA